AAAAAGACCACAGGTAATTACAAAAACATTTTATTTCAACAGCTTTGACATAGGTGCAAAAGACACTGTAAAAAAATGTTTGAAAAATGAAGGTTTCAGGAAGTTACAGGGTGGGGGGTATACTACAAAAGTACCGAATGGCCTATCTTTGCTGTCCATGAGGTACGTTTTTAGTTCTTTCATTGAAAAGTCATCAGGTACTTCTGCTAAATTTCTATTCCAACTGCTCCCATGAATGTGTTTTCGAAAAAAAACAGGTGTTAACATGTTACGAAACTTTGAAAATTCAGATTGAAATGAGCACTCCTCGATATGGCGTCCGTCGTGTACACTCCACACTTTCCCCCTGAAACTTCAAATCCCGCAAAATCTCGCGTTCCCACGGATAATTTAGCGGAAGTCACGTGACCGTGGAAAAGACTCTATTCTAGTGTGCATGCATTAAAATACGTCTATTAATACAGTTACAGTGTACATGTATAAAATGTACCCACTAAATGCACACTAAAATTGAGGCATTCAATAGTTCAACACCTGAGCAATATTTCATAGGCATATTTGAGAGGAAGAAAGTCAAGATTTGTAGTTACTCGATACATTTTGAACATAATTCTCTCTAATAGAGACAAAATCTCAAAACTCACCAACGGTACCTTCTCAACATACTTTTGGTTTGAAAGTTCACACCAGTAAATTGGAAGGCATGAGAGAAAGATGACCTCATACCTTAAGAGGCAAAATAGACTAAACAAAGTAAACACACCAAAATATGAAAAGCAAGAAATATGTGTATAAATAAATAAATAAGATCTGACTTTGGTATGTGTAACATCAAATTCATAAAACAGAACAATAAATCCTTGTATAATTCTTGTGTGGCTATATCTTTTATAGCCTCCCACGCAGGCTTTTAACCCTTACACCAACTGCTTCAGGTCATATAATGATCACAATAAAATCAAAACCAGCACCACCTATATTAAATCACTTTTTCACAATGCCCAGGTCTCACATGAATCTCTACTATAGCCACAGCAAAATTTTATTCAGTTTACTTTCGCTTTAAAAAAATTCAATCTCTATTCAATGTCTCGCCTTTGGTTTGATATCTGTGTCTCCATCATGACGAAGGGTGTGTTGTCGTAGATGATGTCCAACATTTCTGCCGTTACTGGCACTTTAGCAGCAGGGAATTCCATTATCTTAATTGGTCGGAAACAGTTAAGTGATTGTTTCCACAACTTAAGCTAAACCTGGGCAAGAATTGATGCTGACATGGTCCTAAAAGTGAAGCTAATGACACTTTATCGAGGAATACCGAGAAGCATTGAGCCTGATGATTGGTTGGTGCAAGATTTTATGATTTTATTCAAATCTATCTATTCTTAAAGCAATCCAAGCCAGGATTTTGAACACAGTTAAGTTCATAAATAGCTTCTTGTTGAACTAATCTGAGGAAAATTAAGGCTTTAAAAACATATACTGGCACTGTACCATTCAATATCTCTCTCCTTGGGTCGTACACATAGTGCTCGGGTAAATGTATATTTCTCAGGTCACAATTACCGACACTCACATTTTATACAGTATGGCAACTGACACAGAGATCATGCAGAAAAGGTAACATAAACAAGAATTGAGGTTGATTTTTCATTTTATTTTGACCATTTCAAATAAAAAGGAAGAAACAGCCTTTTTTTTCATTTTTTGACATATTGGAAATCACTCCCCCCCCCAATACATGGACTGGTAGCTAGTTGACTGTCACTAATATAATAAAACATAAAATTTCATGAAAAATGTGAAACATCATTTCTCAGTGCACACTTGTTTAATATCAAATCATTTGCAAAAAAAACCAAAATACTTTTTTTTTAGAAATAGTAAAAAAAGCCCTAGTCCTACTAGAGTTAGTAATACTGCATCTGTGCAAGAAGCTCTTCAACTCACTTAGAGACTCAATGCACCCTAGGGGATTTGAGCTTGTTAAGCCATAAAATGTGAAACACAAGATAAAACAGATCTCAGCCGAGTGTTTATTTCCCTTCTCTGTGAGTTGATATATATCAAGGAAGCTATAACCTGAAACTTCACCTTAATTCAGGTAACCCAAAGACGCACACACACTGGAACCATTGCAAACATTGAAAAGCCTTGATTTTGTTTAAGATCTCATCTAGGATTGTTTTAACTGAAACTTTTTAAGGACAAGTGACAAGAGTATCAGACTGTTTGTTTGCCACTTTTTTTCAATCAATTCAGTTCAATTCAGTTCAAGGTTGTAATAAAAAATTGTTGACTTTTTCTTTTTTCTCATATATCAAATTGTCTATGATGAGAATAAAGGGAGGGGGTGGGGAACATATGACCAGGCCACGGGAAAATACAGGAACAGTGGGACAGTAGACTGATATCCTTGAAGTTTCAAAGAATTCAGAGATCTTCGGAATTGGTCTCAATTTTACTTGTATGAACGGCTTGTACTTCAGGACAACAATCCATGAAACATTATTGCCAAAAACATGTATTGTACCTTTGTTGTTGTTGAAGAAAAAGAGGTCAATGCTCTTAATCGCTCTCTGAGGTGAAACTAGGCACCTATTGGGAGAGGTTCAGAAAGTATCAATTTCACAACATTCTTTCTGGTTGTAAAATTACTGTTGTTTAGGGTGACTGGTACAAGTACTTAAGAATAACAGGAGCCTTAATTGTCAGTTACTTGAGTCATGACTCTATAATTAAAGTTACTATAATAGTAATATTTTTAATTACTATTATTAATAACTACAATTCTGCTCTCAAAAGAACAGACTGTAGGAACCTATAGCCAAAACTGAACTATTCCTTTTTTATTTAGGAGGGGGAGGGGTGAATTGACAAACATGACAGAAAAAACATGCTCAATTTGTATGAAGAGCTATGTACAAAAGCGCAACCATTTGTAAGTGAAAGACAATACTCTGTTTAGCTATCTATGCCCTCACTTCACACTGCAGAATTGGTAAAATGTTATCAAAATAATCAACACTTATAAACAAAGAAAGATGTACCCTAGCTTCCATAGGTATATGTTGATATTTTACCCATAATTAATTACTGGGCCATAACCTACAGCTGACTATTTAAATTAAATCTGTGTGTTGAAAAGCCAATGTAACGCTGTTTCATGAAATACCATCACATTTTTGTAACCATCAATGAAATAATCTTTCTTGTTTATGGTACACTTTTGCATTTATAAATAAAAGAAAATAAATTTTGTCAAAAGTATTTGTTTACTCATTGGGGAATAAGAATTCTTTCTACCTGACCCTAAAGAACAAACCTCAAGCAGAGCCACAGAATTTATTGGCGACCTTAGAAACCTTAATCAACCTCTTATCTGGTGTACAAACCCAGGAGAACCATCTCATATTTAGTAACCCCATAAAGTCCATGAAAAGGTAACTTCGGGTCTCTCATTTCACTTATTAATCTATAAATATAAAGAGATTTAGGAAATGTCCACCATCCCTTGCTATTAATATACTAGTACATGTAGTATCCTCAGGAAAAAACATACAGGTCTATGTAGGTGACCTTATGGGTAAGTAACTCCACCTGTGTACCTTTAAACCAACAGGTAATTTTCACATGTACATTTCCAAGAAATGAACACTTGAAATTACCAAGGTAATTTCAAGGGTGATGGAAAAGGGGGTGCATTTATGTCAACAACTATTTGTACTGGTTCTTAACCAAGCACTATGGGCTCCATTTAAAGGATTCAAAGAAGCATGGGTTTTGTCAGAATCTGATGCAGGATGGAAAATACAGAATATTTCTTTGTTAATTAATTCCTCTGGTTATTACATTTACTGGGTAGTGAATATTCAAACCAATTTCTGATTTAGAAACTACAAAAATGAAAACCAAAGTACTTTTCTACACACTCTCTTTAATGGATGTAGCAAAATGAAAAGTTTGCAGCAACATGTTTGCAGGAGTTTGCAAGAAAAATTTCCTTGCTGCTAATTTGCAGCCATATTGCAGCAAAATTTGCTACAAATTTGCAAGTAAAAATTTAGTTTGCTGCAATATTGCAGCAAATTTTTTATAAATTTGCTGCAAATTTACAGCAGGCCTGATATTGTGCTAAGGATATACAGTCACATCCTAAAACTTCAACCAAAACCATTTTGCAATGTTATTTATGATAAGATGGGCTCAGTATGCAACCGGCTAGTGACTAACTTTTTGTTCACATGAGAAATATTCCTTTTTAAGAAATTCTTATGAAATTATATAGCCTTGAAATATA